ACAGGATTGCGGTGAGGAAACACAATGAGGAGGTGGATAAAAACAGGCACATTCTATCCAAAATTATCGATTGTGTGAAGTTCTGTGGGGCTTTTGAGTTGGCCTTGCGTGGGCACGAGGAGACTGACTCCTCGGACAACCCCGGCATTTTCCGGAGCTTAGTGGATTTTGTTGCCTCCCTCGACAGTGTGCTGGAGGAGCACCTGAAGACAGCTACCGTTTTTAAGGGCACGTCAAAGACGATACAGAACGAGCTGTTGGAATGTATGCTGTCAGTGCTTAAGGATTACATCCTGGAGGAAGTAAAGAGTGCTGATTTTATCGCCATTCAAGCTGACGAGACGACTGACGTTTCCACCCACTAACGTGTTTCCAGACCATCAGAGACTCTGGGAACTTTGATGCCCCGACTGTCAGAGAGGCGGGGGGCTTTGTGAGGATGCTCGAAGACGAGGCTTTCTGTTTTTTCCTGGTACTGTTCCACAAGATCATGCCAAATGTGGACATGCTTTTCAGCCAGCTGCAGAAGAGGAACATCGACCCTGTCTTCATTAAAGCACTTGTCCAGAGGTTCACAGACAGCATGCTAACAATCAGGTAAATAACTATATTTACTATTGGCTGATAAAGATGTTGTTAGAAAGATGAATAGTTCACTTACAACAGTTTTAAAAGCCTAAATGTGTCTGGTCATCAAAGTGAGTGATTATCATAGAGCCGTCACAATTATATTTGTTTTAGTATTTTAAAAGGAAAGAGAAGACACAATCAGACGTTGATAATAATGCAGGAAAGTACTACACAGTTTGTAATAATTATTCAGGTGTCCACCAGGTCAATTTCTAGAAGAGGCCTAGTTGTTATTGAAGATTAACTTTATTGCTAAGTGCACAGCAGAACAAAATGATGTTGCATCCCTCTCACAAATGTAATAGAAAAAGGCTTTAAAACGTAATAACATCAGTTAATTATGTACATCACAGGTTAAAAGCAGTTACTAGACATAGTTTGTGTGTATATACACACTATCTGTCTGTCTGTCTGTCTGTCTGTCTGTCTATATATATATATAAAATTCCTGTACAAATAAGATGACAGACACACACACACAGAGCAGCTCTGGCCGCATGTTTCTTTGTATATAGTTGACCTTAGCATAAAAAATCCAGTTATATATGGTACTCTAGAAAGTCTTAATAGTGTCTTTGCTAATATTACTGTATATATGTTGTTTTGTATCAATTAATTGTTGCAGTTCTGGAGCACATTAACAATTAGTCACATTTAGTATGATCATAAAATACTGTATGCTATTCTTCCAGTCAAAGGTTTGAGTTCATCCACTTGATATCCATTTCTATATTATACATCCTTTTATACAGTGTAAGATTTCCTATAAACTTTATAATAATTTCATGTTATTGTCCACTTTCCACTCTGTTCTGACAGCATGCCTGTTGCGTTGCCTGTTTACTACCAATGGTGAAAAGTTCACTTTAAATGCAAATGAAAGGCTTGGGTTTGTGTAATATGTTTTTGTGTAAGAATGCCTCAACTTTTTAATATTGGCATTAAATAATTACTGAATGTTTCACTTAGCACTGCTGTCCTGCAGTTTGTGTTAAAATATATCGCGATGGTTACAGGAAAAAAAAAGTATGGCACAGCCCCACCGAGAATATTTTTCACCAGCCGCCACTGGTTACAAGATGTTTTGAATGATTGTGTCCCGTCCTCCCAGGCTACTGGCCTGGAGTAGGATCAAATAGGGCCAAAGTAGTGGAATAGTGGTTAGGTTTTTAATTGGTGCAGGGTTAGTTGGTAGGGCAATTTTTTCACAAACTGTAATGATTTCATACTACAAAATAGTAGACTGATACACAGCCAATACAGTAGGTGGCGACATGCACCTATAATATGTGTTTGCGGACCGCCATAATACCAAAGAAGAAGAAGACTGCTTTATGGGATAGCTAGCAACTTGTAAACAATTACCCACTTCTATAAGTGAGTACTATTTTAATATTAATGCTAAATAATAGACAGTTATGACTGTTGCCTCCCATTTAAGTTTATTGTGATGGTAATGACATTTGTTTTTTATGATAGTTATTAGGTGGAGTTTGCTAGCTACAGTATAGCCTACAGTATAGACGATGTGTATTATTTAACATTACTATTAAAATAGTACTCACATATAGGAATGGGTCATTGTTTACAAGTTGCTAGCTATCCCATAAAGCCATCTTCTTCTGTGGTTTGGTAACATCCCGTTCTTCGACGGACGCAAAGTTTGGAAAATGTCATTGTATGCGGCGTCCATCTCGCAATGGAGCCTTCAACCTCAAGGGGGTGTTGCGTTTTCACTCCATTGTGGACGTCCCCATTGAAATGCATGACATCTGGCACAAGGTTATGGAGGACTAAAAGTGCCACAATTAAATAAATAAATACACCATTAAATAATTACTTAAATGTGTCATTAATTAATTCAAATTAGAATTAAATACATAAATGTGTAATTAAATGTATCATTAATTAATTCAAAATACCGATTCATTTTATGTAAAATACATATATAATTATTTCACTATTTACATTTACATTTCATGATCCTGCATTGCAGTGATTCATGAATTACTTAAACTGTCAAACTGACCCATCAAAGTCAGTGGGCGGGGCTAACGCGAATCTAGTCTGATCCATTGCTTTGGTCTGAAGTAGAGTAGGCCACCTGGATAGAGACAATGGAGGATCTCCGTGAACTTCCAGGGAGTTGGTTAGAGACATTTTAAACTTAGCAGAGGATGTAGAAGCAGGACCTGCTGACATTATCCCGGAATTGATTTGTCTTGGCTTGATGCAGAGGGTAACCAATCAGGCGTTAGGTTCCGCCTACCACTTTGATGGGTCAGTTTGACAGTTTTTAAGTAATTCAGGAAGCACCTCCAACGCAGGACCATGAAATGTAAATGTAAATAGTGAAATATTATATATGTATTTTACATAAAATATCGGTATTGAATTAATTAATGACACATTAATAACACATTTATGTATTTAATTCTAATTTGAATTAATTAATGACACATTTAAGTAATTATTTAATGGTGTATTTATTTATTTAATTGTGGCACTTTTAGTCCTCCATACAAGGTAACAGAGTGCTTATGGGTAAAAGGCTCTACATGGTCAATCCAATATCTGCGAGTGGCCGTACAGCATTTACTGTGATATGGCCTCTGCAGAAGTCAGGGCAATTATACTACTTGTGCTTCACTGAGCAGAGCTGTTGTCAAGGAAGTGAGTTTGTGTTTATACAGGACCTCCCGCCCCCACCTACCATCAACCAAACATGTTAATGCGGAGTTATACGGAGGCACCGCAATTGCATCACACCATCCATACAGCACCTCCGACCACATTTTCGGATCAAGCATAAATTGGCTTTAATGTGAACAAGGCTTTAGTGTTGCTTGCGCTCCACAAAAGCAGCGTCTTTGCAGAGCAAGGGAAACAACTACTTCAAGGTCTCGGAGCGAGTCATGTCACTGATTGAAACACTACTAGCGTGCATGCTAACTAGCTGGCCGTTTCATGAACAACCTCTCACGGTCTCATGTCAGAATTAGACGTTCATCCATGTTTCTCAAACGTCAAATTTCAAAGTTGTTCCAAACGTCAAATTTCATTTGGAACAGCCGAAAGTTTGCCAAAGGTTGCATGTTCGAATCCAGCGATAGAAAGTTGTTTTATATATTTTTGTTTTAAGCCTATCCCAAACCTTAACCAATCAGAGTTAATGCCTAACCTTAAGAATTTGCTGTTAATGCCTAAACTTAACCTTAAACACTTCGAAATTTGACATTTGAGACACATGGATGAACGTCTAATTCGGACCTGCAACCTGTGAGAGCTTTTTGTTACACAGATACAACCACCTATCCTTCTATGGCACATGCCAATCTCATTCCATGGAGGGCCGCTCCTCCATTATAATATAATAATAATATGCCATTTAGCAGATGCTTTTATCCAAAGCGACTTACAGTCACGCGTGCATACATTTTGTGTATGGGTGGTCCCAGGGATCGAACCCACTACCTTGGCGTTACAAGCGCCGTGCTCTACCAGCTGAGCTACAGAGGACCATTGTACTTGAGAGATGAATTAAGGTCACTAATTAGTAAGGAACTCCCCACACCTGGTTGTCTAGTGCTTAATTGAAAGGAAAAACCAAAAACCTGCAGAACCTGGGCCCTCCATGGAATTAGTTTTACACCCCTGCCTATAGCATCGTAGCTATTCTTTATACCACAAGTCAACGCAGCTGTGGCTTTCAGGTACATATTATTTTTAATTAAGTTATTTATAAGTGAAGTTTGATTTGATTCAAGTGATGATGTAATGATCAAACAGAGACATTGAAAATGTATGTTTTCCAGAAGATAGTGTTTTTTCAGCCTTATTTCAATAACATTCTTTATAATTGCTCTTGATAACTGCATTCTCTGGTTTAGTGCATGCTGGTCCATCAGTCACAAGCCATTGCAGTTTTGTCAATTCAGTTCATGAAATAAATGATCATCCTAGATCATCCATAACTTAATATAACTGTTTCATGTAGTTATCTATTTCCATCAGTGGAAGCTGGTGGGAGGAGCTATAGGAGGACAGGGTCATTGTAATGGCTGGAATGGAATCAATGGAACGGAGTCAAACATGTGGTTTCCATATGTTTGATGTGTTTGATACCCGTTCCACCCGTCCTCCTATAGCTCCTCCCACCAGCATCCGCTCATTTCCATTATCATTGGTCTGTAGCGTGTAGTAAAAAAACCATCCACATAGTGACGCTGTGGTGTTATGGGCTCGCCACCCACTGACAAAAACAATGCGGAAGTAAATCTTCGAGCGGGTTTGTTTTGTTCGTGACCACCATTCTTTCCTAGTGGACGAAACCATACTAGCTGAATACCCAACTCTCAGTCCACTGAAATATGTCTAAACTACAGTCGTTTCGTGCGTTCTTAAACGAGCGTTTAACAGCGGCTGCTGTGGAGATTTTTGGGGCAGTTGAGCAAACGGTAGTGGACTACCAGGAGGAGAATGATCGGCTACGGAGACTGCTGCGGATCACACCGGAGATAAATCGATGCAGAATAGGTTCGTATGGAGATCTACTGATGGCTAGATAGTTAGCAGTTCTGCTCAATAAATAAACTGTTTAGGGGTTTAGTGATCACCATTTCAAGATGTTTTATTAACTGCTACCACCGTTTCTAAACCCAGAGGCCCAACATCGTCAGACTTCCGGGAACGCTTGCAAAGCAAGATATGGCAGACCGGGGTATGAGAAGTCAATGAGAGAAGTGAAATATTCCTCCTTAGTTGTGCATTATCTCGATTTCTAAAGGCACAGCCTAGATTCAAACCAATGTTTTAAGCAGGTGAACATGTCATTAGTACAACCTCATGAAAGTGGCAAACTGACACTACTTTATATGCCTAAGAGTTGACGGCTTGCACATGCGCAGTTCGGCGGGAGACGACTGACCTTATAAAGCCACACAGTGGAGGTGTCACAATACCCATAAAACATAGCAGTCAAACAGGAAAGGGGTTCCAATCGTTTTTCCACAACACATTTTCCCCATCGGGAATTTTAGAAACACTTAAAATAAGGGCTGTGTTTCATGTAGGCTTACCCTCGCGTGACGTTTTGATACCCATGTAAATATCTATCGGACAAGGTGACTTAACAATATATTTGCCTGTATTTACACCCCAACAATGAAATTAGCTGCCAATGTGGTTATCATAAAGAACTACAAATGCCATGATGATCTGGAGGAGACTGACGAATCGAGGCAAAGGTAAGAATCTCTGGATTAAAAATGCTAGTTAAATGTAGTAATGAATAAATTGGCTACATTCCTTTAAATTGACAATTCTGTGAACCTGTCTTGTGCAAGTTGTAAGTTGACACAATACCTGTTAGCAAAGGTGTCAAGTAGAGATGACGTGCAGGGATTTGTAGTTTTGCATGATGTCTACTTTGATGCTAATTAGCATTTTCGAATCTGAGAGTAAATAGAGCCAAACATATTGATAAAAGTCACCTTGTCTGAGAGAGATTGATTTACATGATTATCAAAACGTCACGCAATGGTAAGCCTACATGAAACACAGCCCTTATTTTAAGTGTTTATCAAATCCCCTTTGGGAAAAATGAATGGTGGAAAAACAATTTGACCGCTAGGTTTTATGGGTATTATGACACCTCCACTGTGGGGCTCTGTAGGCAATCATTCTCCCCTGGGGTGTGTTCAGTTCGCTTGAACGTTTGCGACATTGCAGAACGCTTTGGACTTCGGTGGGTGTGCTGGGGTGTGGCTTGAAGCAATGAGTGACATTTAAAGGGCATTTGAACCCACAGACCCAACCCCTCCCCGTTTTTCCAACTGGTCGCTCAGCACAGTTTCCGTTTCATTGAAAGTTCTATTACGTTTTCATGTACTGAATGCAGCCCTGGTTAGACCCGATGACGTGTTTCTGAGAATGAGCTTAGGTAGCTAACGTCGCCACGACATTGCCCTACAGGCGTAATCAGTTTCTACATATCTTCCTACCAAACTATCTTTGCTAATACCATACATGGATACAAACATTGTCACAAAACCAGGAAGTGATTTGAATTTATAAATTAACGTGTATACATTTTTTTGCGTTAGAAATAAATATCTTTATCTTCAGTTTATTGATAAGTAATTAAAAGTAGGTTATAGTTGTTCATGAATCTACTTAAATCTAGAGTCCTTAATTGAAACAATAATAAAGTGGGGTTACCCCGCCTCTGTTTTGGTAAAAAGGTGAGGGATGAGCCTGGAGAAATGTAACCACTCTCAAATTCATAGACAGAGCTATGGATGCAAGGACTGACCATCCATGATATCAACATTATGGTTGTAACCATGTTTTGAGGCTATATTTACATTGTTTACAAACATTGGAGTAAAACAAGCTTATATTTTGTGTTCTGTTGAGGGGCAACAGTTGACCTAAGCTCATGAGGCATTTATACATTATATTCTTCAAGTCAAAACATTTATGTAGCAACTAAGGATTCTAGTTTTAACTTCGAATTGACACCAACCCTGATGTCTTAAAGCTGTATATATATATAAGCTCTGCTCCTCTCTCCTTTCCTCCAGACTCCCTGCAGCTCTCTCTCGCTGTCTCTGAAGAGGAGGTTCTCCCTGATCAGCAGCACTGTGAGCAGGAGTGGAGCCCCAGTCTGGGGCAGGAGAACCCAGAGCTTCCACAGATTAAAGAGGAACAAGAGGAACTCAGGACCACTCAGGAGGAAGAGCAGCTTCAAGGGCTGGAGGCTGATATCATAGAGTTCAAATTCACTCCTTCCTGTGTGAAAAGTGAATGTGATCAGGAGGACCCACTTCAGCCCTTGACTCTTCCCCAAACCCAGACTGTGGAGAACAGAGAGAGGGACCCTAAACAAGTAGATCTCACACCTTTTGTTACTGTGACCCACCTTAAGGGTCTCTACATTCCCTGTGACCCTCCAGGTAATCAAAACAATGCCTCCAGCCACAGCTCAGCTGTAAGCAGTGACCCAGTAGGACTTGACAGCAGCCCACCATTGGATCCCAGCCCATCATTGGGGGAACACTGTTTCAAACCCAGCACCATGTCTAGAAAAACTCACCGCTGCCGTGACTGTGGTGAAATGTTTGTTCTGAAAACGGACTTGCAGAGGCATGTGACTCTCCCCATGCAGAGACCCAATGAATGCCGCTTCTGCAAAAAACGCTACAACTCCACCTGTAAACTGAAGGCCCATGTCCGACTCTGTCGCGGTAGGAAACCCTGCACCTGCCCTATTTGTAGCAAGACCGTCAAACTCAAAGGAGATCTGTCCAAGCACATGAGGATTCACACAGGGGAGAAATCATTCAGTTGTGGTTACTGTGGGAAGCACTTCAATCGCAAGGGGAACCTAACCGATCATATTCCGATTCACACAGGAGAGAAAGCATTTAGCTGTGGTGACTGCGGGAAAAGATTCAGTCAGAAGGGGACCCTAAGGAAGCATAAACTGACTCACAGAGGAGAGAAACCATTTATCTGTGGAGACTGTGGGAAAAGCTTCTATCAGAAGGGGGACCTAAGTAGGCATATACGGACTCACACAGGAGAGAAACTCTTTATCTGTGGTGATTGTGGGAAAAGCTTCAATTTGAAGGGGAACCTAAAGAAGCATGAACTGACTCACACAGAAGATAAACCATTTAGCTGTGATGACTGTGGGAAAAGCTTCAATCACAAGTCTAACTTACTGACGCATGTGAAAAACATCCACAAAGGAGGAAAACAGGATGAAAACTGAAAGAAATAAAAATTAGGACAAAGATATATTTAGTCACAAGATGAGAATAAAAAGGCAGGATGTGGACAATACTCTGAGTACACGCTCATAGACTCACATCCAGTGGTTGGTGGAGGATGATAAGATGATACCTCTCCCAGGGACCTGCTCTCCATGCTTCAGGATGATAGTTTCTCTGGTCCCTGATCTGTTCTATTCATAAACTGCTGTTTCTATAATAATAATAATAATATAATATAATATGCCATTTAGCAGACGCTTTTATCCAAAGCGACTTACAGTCATGCGTGCATACATTTTTTGTGTATGGGTGGTCCCGGGGATCGAACCCACTACCTTGGCGTTACAAGCGCCGTGCTCTACCAGCTGAGCTACAGAGGACCACGTTTCTCTCCACAGGTGCTCTCTGCTACTCTCTGGTCTACATGGAGGGCCTATCTACTTTACATCTGTCTGGAGGGGGAGATAGAGATCACAGAATGAGGTTTCTAGTCTCCCAACACTCTCAGAGGCTTTTTAGAGGAAAATACTGCCTTTTCAGGTCATGTCACAAGTCTGACAGTGGCACTTCTAATGAACTCGGTGCTGACACTTTTCCTTTCTAACCACTAGATGGCACTGTTGGAGATGTGATCCCTATCACAGTGTCTGTTTTAAACACTGTGTTCTTGCCCATTTACTAAACCCTGTCTTAGTTACCCATTACTAAACACATTTAAACAACACACACACACACTGTATTACAGCTACACAGGACCATGCTAAACTGAACCAGACATGACTGACCTGTCTTGGACTGGACTGACCATAAGGGGATGTTATAGAATAGATGGTGTGTACTGTGGGGTCAGAGGTGACTGTAAATCAGGATTAGGTTCACAACACCAGGAGGATCAAAGTAAACAGGTGTGTGTTATCCAGATTTATCCCAATGTGGAGGAGTGGGACTTTAACTGTATGCATTGATCTACTACAATAGAAAGAGGTGTAGATGATATATCTGCTTAAATGCTCCCCAAAGGAGGACATCTTTTCATTCTATACATACAGACTTCTAGACTAATGAATGTTGAATAGATCAAACTAAACCCATGTTTGCTCCTCAGTGTCCCTCTGCTTAAGAGGTGTCTGCATGACATCCTACTATAGCAAAAGGAGATCGGCTAGCTGGCCAGTGAAGTGGATCTATTACACTAACAAGGATCCTTTCAGTAGGCTACAACAACATGAGAAGTGAGAATGGGAATTGTATTTCTAATCTCTATCCCTCCCTGTGTGTAGCGAGTTTAGAAAGGGTGAGTGGAACAGAGTTAAAAATGTACCGTAAACTCACTCCACAGCAAGCTTGAAATGTCACCGCTGGAGCTATCAAGATTAGATATTAGATATTTCTCCATAGCTCAACAAGTTGGTACATTGTCAAGGAGTTAGGTCACGTGTGTTTGCAAGCAGAGGATCACTTGTTAGAGCCCGATATACGGACAGTGGAGGAAGCTATACTGTTAACAGAACACTGATGTCCATTTCACTCAACAGGATACTAGGAGATGTAGGAGAGAGAAACAGGAGAGTGTACAACTGAATGCTGAGAGGGCACTGTTGTGACTATCTCTCTGCAGTGCTATTTTGTCCTGTTGTGAGACTGTCTGGCAACATATTGTCATCAATACTTTACTCGCAACTAAACAAACGACCCAAGTGGTGGTGACGGAGAGTAGAAGAGTGTCTTCTCTTTTCAATCCTCTCTCTCTCTGAGAACTGATACCAATTACACATATCAGTCGCTAGGAGGCAGCACTTCACTGTTCCAATCAGAATGCAAGGAGCCTTGGAATGAATACTACCTTTGAAGAAACGGAAATATCCATGGATGAATGTAATGTAATTCTGTAATGACGTGGGTTAGTTATTGCAGCACTCACATTACTACTGACTTTTCTGTTGTGATACGCATCATAATTTTCTGTTGTGACACACTTCATCATTGTGTTGTCCTTGTTCTGTTTTAGCTCTTCTTTACACCTCTGTGGATGATAAGCCTGGTACATAAGTCATGGAAACAGGACTGAAGTCTGTTGACACTCAAAGTTAGCGTCACATACACACACCTGTCCCACTACATTAACAGACCTATGCTTTATACAACCAGTCAACCCAGCTGCGGATTTCAGAAAAAATATTAATATATATTTTTAAACGTTCCATGTAAGTAAAGTTGATTTGATTCAAATGATGTTATAGTCAGAGACATTGAAAATATATGCTTTCTAGAAAATATCTCCTTCCATTTGTTCAAGAGTATTTATCATCCATTTTGTCCTAATGCTGCTCAAGTAATGATCTACAGTAGACTCCTGATAAGTGCATTTTGTACATGTGCAAACTCTGTTTTAAGTGCATTACAGTGTTTTTTCAGCCCCCTTTCAATCTTTATAATTTATTTTGATAACTGCGTTCTTCGGTTTAGTGCATGCTGTCCCAACAGTCCCAAGCTGTTGCGGGTCTTTCAATTAAATTCATGCAAGAAATTATCATCCTAGATCACTCTATTATTTAATAGAACTGTTGTGCCCTTGAGCAAGGCACTTAACTCTAATTGCTCCTGTAAATCTCTCTGGATAAGAGCGTCTGCTAAATCAAATGTTTCGTGTTTCCCAATATGTAATTCTCTGTTTTCATCTGTAGCGTGTAGTACAAAACCCATCCACATGGGGGCACTGCTGTGTGTTTATGGGCTTGTCACCCGCTTCTACAAAAAAACAAAAAAAGACAATATGGAAGGAAAACTTGGAGCTTGTTTGTGACCACCATTCTTAGCTGACCAACTGAAGGGGAAGATTCCCGGTGTTTGGTGCGACGCAGACAGGGTGGCATGAGTGGAGAAACAGAAGAATCATTGTCTGTTATTTTGAGTTTTGATGTTGAGTCTTTGCCCGACAAAGTGATGTTAGGATATATAAGTTATCCTGTACGAACTTTTGTGCCGAATCGTTGTTACACGTGTCAAGCTTATGGGCTTGTGTCAGCAGTGTGTAGGAGGGAGGTTCCTGGGTGTGAGAAGTGTGCAGAAGGGCATGAGACAAAGGAATGTGTCGCATTGGGGAAAGTAGTGGTATGTGTTAATTGTAGGGGTGCCCGTGGGGCTGGGGATCAGAAAGGTCCCGGGCAAGAGAGGCAGGTTGAGGTTTCCAGGGTTAGAGTACTGCAAAAGTTGTCATATGCTGAGGCAGTGAAGAAAGTAGAGGAAGATGGGTCAAGGGGGAGGGATCCTGAGAGGAGTGGTGTGGGTAGTAGATCTGTACCAGTACAGAGGGATAAACCAACAAGTGATATACGTTTCAGTAAGATTGGATTTTTGGCATTTATATCAATGGTTATCAACTGTACGGCAGGGATGGAACGTAAGTCGCAGAAAATAGAAGTTGTGGTGGCAGCTGCAGAGAGGAGAGTTACAGGGTGTGTTAAGTGGTGGTGTCCCATCCTTTCAGGCTGTTGGCCTGAAGTAGGACTAAATAGATTTAAATAGTGGAGTATGGTATTTATTATTGTTTTTGTGAGTGTAGTGTTAGATGGTAGGGTATTTGTTGTATTATTATTATATATTTTTTTTTTTAAGCAAAGTATAAGGGAGGTATACTCCAGTCTAGTAGGTGGCGGTAATGCAACATTTATTGGATGCCAACCGCCGTTAAACCTCATCAAAGAAGAAGAGGACCACCACCATTCTTTCCTCGTGGACTGAAGCCATACTAGCTGAATACCCAACTCTCAGTACACTGAAACATGTCTAAACTACAGTCGTTTCGTGTGTTTTTAAATGAGCGTTTAACGGCAGCTGCTCTGGAGGTTTTTGGGGCAGTTGAGCAAACGGTAGTGGAGTACCTGGAGGAGAATGATCGGCTTCGGAGGTTGCTGAGGATCACACCGGAGATACAACTATGTAGAATAGGTTTGTATGTAGATGTACTGCTAGTTAGATAGCTACAATTCAACACCATAAATAAACTGTTTAGGCTTTCAGTGTTCACCATTTCAAGATGTTTTATTAACTATACCGTACATGAATGAAAACATTGTCACGAAAACAAGGTGATTTGAATTTAGAATTAAAAATGGAAAAACGTATTATCTTAAGTTTATTGGGATTGAAAAAATCTTCTATTTAAATAATTGAATTAGAATTCTCGTTCACTTCATGAATTGACTTACTTAAATTCTAATTGACCCCAACCTTGCCTTATACATCCGACTTTGTTACCTCGCTGATGACAGTCTGAGACTATCCTATAGTTACGAGCTCTACAAGCCAGAATGTTGAATAAAATGTACTGTTAATTTGAACTCTACCGGTTGTCTGCGGTTGGTCCTTATGACTCGTTTTGAAATTTTACACAAAATATCCACAAGAAAATATTATTAAACCGACTTTTCAAAACGCTGGGGTGTTCAGTTCGATGTAATGTTTGATGCGTTTGAACAGTTTGTACTGAATGACACGTTTCCCCAAAACCTTCAATGTTCTTGAACAGACTGAGGTTTGTTTGGTGGGTGTAGCTTTAAGCAATGAAGGGATTCGATTATCTGTCCTGGGTTGCTCAGGTGGGAGGAGTGAACTGCGTGAAAAAGCGGTGAGGGAGGAGCGCCCTTCTCAAATCAAACAGTATCTGCGCTGCTCGGTCATGTTGTCAAGGCAGACTGGTGCATTGTTCAGAAACATACATCTCTATTTCATAAAATAAATGTTTGCATTTTCAAACTAGTTTTCATTGGGAATGCAGCGTTTTTATCCAAAGCAGTTTTTTTTGTTGCATGTGAAAACACCGAATCCTACTTCACTTTTGTTTTGAGCCGACTTCGCCTTTGTCCAGAAATGTAAACCCGGTGCAAACTACGCTACTTGGGAGCACGGGCCAGCTTAATAGAATCCCCTCGTTTGTCTGGCCCAGGTTGCCCCGATGGTAGGGGTTTGCGCTTGGTGAAAAATGAGGGAGTTCTAATAACCTGAGCCGTGGGGCACCGTGCTATGGCCTATGATATGAACGGGCAAAAACGGTGAGGGAGGAGCGCCCTTGTCAAATCGAACAGAAATCTGCGCCACTTGGTCATGATGTCAACAAGGTAGAATGTTGCATCCTAAAGAAACAACATCTCTTTTCCATGAAATATATGTTCAGGCTAGTTTTCATTGGGAAGCCCGACGGTCATTGGGAAGTCCAACAGTGTTTAAATCCAAAGCAATCACGTTTGCATGTGATAACATGGTTTCCTACTCATTACTCCACCTGCTTAACCTACATAACCATTTAGTTTTGAGTCGACTTCGCCATCCGTGAGAGCAGGTCACCTGGCTCCCACCCTGGAGGCAGCCGGTTCCAAAACAGATGCAATGGGTAACTTTACCAAACAGTTAAGTGATTATCAATTAAGAGCAAGCGATTTAAGTATGCCTAATAGTAAAATGTGTTTTGATGAATGAGATGACAATCATATCAAAAGTAATGTGAGCATTGCATTGTGAAAACGGTCCTGTGTGGCTCAGTTGGTAAAGTTCTAGATTAAACGCTAAATTTGTTGAAAAAGTGATTGTATAATTTTGTGTTGTACTTAGTCAATTGAAAATGTGCTTAGAGTTTTGAAACAACTGCCTTTTTGATTATCTGTTTTGTACTCAGAGTTGTGAACATTCAACACATACTGTACTTGTGACTATTGCACTAAAGTCAAAAAACTAAAATACAGTAATACTTTCCTGTGGATATTTTGTCTCAAATTTCCAATGGCATGCAGACTAAATCAGCGGACAACAGGTAGAGTAAGGTCAAATTAAGTTTATTGAACATTCTGATTTAAGTCTACACTCGGAATCAGGAGAGGCTAACCCCAACCCTGATGTCTTAAAGCTGTATAGATAACCTCTGCTCCTCTCTCCTTTCCTCCAGACTCCCTGCAGCTCTCTCTCGCTGTCTCTGAAGAGGAGGTTCTCCCTGATCAGCAGCACTGTGAGCAGGAGTGGAGCCCCAGTCTGGGGCAGGAGAACCCAGAGCTTCCACAGATTAAAGAGGAACAGGAGGAACTCAGGACCACTCAGGAAGAAGAGCAGCTTCAAGGGCTGGAGGCTGATATCAAATTCACTCCTTCCTGTATGAAAAGTGAATGTGATCAGGAGGACCCACTTCAGTCCTTGACTCTTCCCCAAACCCAGACTGTGGAGAACAGAGAGAGGGACCCTAAACAAGTGGATCTCACACCTTTTGTTACTGTGACCCACCTGAAGGGTCTCTACATTCCCTGTGACCCTCCAGATAATCAAAACAATGCCTCCAGCCACAGCTCAGCTGTAAGCAGTGACCCAGTAGGACTTGACAGCAGCCCACCATTGGATCCCAGCCCATCATTGAATCCAAACCCATCAATGGAGGAACACTGTTCCAAACCCAGTACCACGTCTAGAAAACCTCACCGCTGCCGTGACTGTGGCGAAATGTTTACTCTGAAAGCTGACCTGCAGAGGCATGTGACTCTCTACAAGAAGAGACTCTGCGAATGCCGCTTCTGCAGAAAAAGCTGCAACTCCACCTGTAAACTAAAGGCCCATGTCCGCCTCTGTCACAGTGGCAAACCCTGCACCTGCCCTGTTTGTGGCAAGACCTTCAAACTCAAAGGGGATCTGTCCAAGCACATGAGGATTCACACAGGAGTGGGAGAGAAACCATTTAGCTGTGGAGACTGTGGGAAAAGCTTCAATCAGAAGGGGAACCTAAGGAACCATAAACGGACTCACACAGGAGAGAAACCATTTATCTGTGGTGACTGTGGGAAAAGCTTCAATCAGAAGGGGAACCTAAGGAACCATAAACTGACTCACACAGGAGAGAAACCATTTAGCTGTGGTGACTGTGGGAAAAGCTTCAATCAGAAGGGGAACCTAAGGAACCATAAACGGACTCACACAGGAGAGAAACCATTTATCTGTGGTGACTGTGGGAAAAGCTTCACTCAGAAGGGGAACCTAAGGAACCATAAACGGACTCACACAGGAGAGAAACCATTTATCTGTGGAGACTGTGGGAAAAGCTTCAATCAGAAGGGGTCCCTAAAGAAGCATTCACTTACTCACACAGGAGATAAATCATTTATCTGTGGTGACTGTGGGAAAAGCTTCACTCAAAAGTCTAACTTACTGATCCATGTGAAAAACATCCACAAAGGAGGAAAACAGGATGAAACATGAAAGAAAGAAAATTAGGACAAAGATCTATTTAGTCACAAGATGAGAATAAAAAGGCAGGATGTGGACAATACTCTGAGTACATGCTCATAGATAGCTGGAATAAGTCAATGAGTCATATCAACTGATGACTAAAATAGCAGCGCAGATGGCACTATTTTGTTAAGTGCAGAGATGTATTGTAGGTAATGAATGTGTAGGGGACAACCATGCAGAGGTTATGAGTTCAAATCCCAGGTGGAGTCATATTGAAATGTCTATACTAAGGGATCATGTCAAATGTAATCATATTGTCACCTGGGATTTGAACTGACAACCTCTGGATTTGGGATATGCTGGTCTTTCTGCTGCACCACTAAATCTGTAGAATTTCAGAAGTCCCCTACACATTCATTACCTATAATACAGTACCAGATACAAGTTTGGACACACCTACTCATTCCACGGTTTTTAATTTCTTTTGACTATACATTGTAGAATAATAGTGAAGACATCAAAACTATGAAATAACACATATGGAATCATGTAGTAACCAAAAAAAGTGTTAAACAAATCAACATTATTTGAGATTTGAGATTCTTCAAATAGCCACCCTTTGCCTTGATGACAGCTTTGCACACTCTTGGCATTCTCTCAACCAGCTTCATGAGGTAGTCACTTGGAATGCATTTCAATTAACAGGTGTGTCTGTTAAAAGTTAATTTGTGGAATTTATTTCCTTAATGCGTTTGAGCCAATCAGTTGTGTTGTGACAAGGTAGGGGTGGTATACAGAAGATAGCCCTATTTGGTAAAAGACCAAGTCCATATTATGTCAAGAACAGCTCAAATAAGCAAAGAGAAACAACACAGAAGTCGCGAAAGAGCGATGGGACAAGGACATCCCGGCCGGCCAAACCCTTGATGGGCTTGGCAACAGTAACAAGGTATGATGTGTAATGAAACTAAGGTGCGCAGGCCCTGGGTAAACCATTTTTTTGTGGGTGTAAAACACTATAGCTGTGTTCGAATAGTCCTAACTGCACAAACCTTACTATTTGTGACGTAAATTCAGTATGTAGTGTGCTTATTGGTCATAGTATGGATATAGTTAGTATGCCAAAAGTTCCATGATGTCTTATTAAATTCGCCAAAATACGAAGTATACAAGCAGTGGACACTATTTCAGTGCTTTTAGGGCCCATAATGCAATTCTTCAGAAAATGGGCGTGGCTTCACAACGTTTTCAGATTTGAAGAAAATGGCATTGCTTACATTTATAATGGTGGGCGAGTAGAATGGTCAGTGAGGTGTTCTCTCATTTGTGTCTGGAAATAGTTAGACAGATAGCTTGGGCTTGGCTGCCGATGTGAGGTCAGTATGCTCGGATCAACCCTACTCCTCGGCCAGAGCGTCTAGTGACGCGCTCCAAAAGCCGAAATGCTCAGAATTTACGAACGGACAATCAGACAAGCTCTGGATTTACGAACGCCCAGAGCCCACTCTGAGCGCACTCTGGCACTCCAGATTGAATTTACGAACACACCCGAAATCGTAAAATGTCTAGCTAGTCATTTGTTATGCTAACAAGCTAGCAAGAGCATCAACTTCCGGTAGACAGGCGAAGAGCTAGTATGCGCAACTGAAAGGATACCGTTCGTTTACAGTATATGAAATTAACTAATAGTATGTAGTATATACTCATTAAGTACGTAGTATACAGTATGTTTGTCTTTTGGCAATGCTAGGGACAGCCACCCACACACACACAAACA